TTTACATATATACATATATATATATATTGGAAAAGTAAGGAACAGTATCACTGTTTCATTCAGGCTTTATAGTAGGTGAGGCCACATACAGCAATCAGGAGGTACTGCAACCTAGTTACCCTCTTCACAGAAATGACCTCAAGCATGCCATTAGGTGCCTGTGCTGGCTCCTAGCGTACAAGCCCTAAGCACTCTTCCAAGATGATCCTTTCAGGGCTGTTCTACACATCGATTGCCTAATGTTTGGGTGCGTTTGGGGGCTTTTTGTACATGCCACACAAGGTGTCGCCACGGAGGAGTTTGCTCCTTGGCAACAGCATCTGTGTTGCTTTCTTTTCTTCTGAAGACTGGATAGCAGGACAAGGGGTACCCTCATTGTTGTCGCGCGCGAGAGAGAGAGAGAGAGAGAGAGAGAGAGAGAGACAGAATGAGGAAGAGATCGAAAGCCCCTTAGAATTTTTGGGTTCTGCTCCTTGTTAGAGGTCTGCTGACTGCTTACCTTCTGAAAGGAGCAGATCAAGCCTTCCCTTTCTGGGGGCTTGGCATCCCCATCAAAGGTGAAGACTTGAGATGCAGGTAAGGGCTTAGGGTCGGGGGATTGGGGTTTATTGTTTAAGGCAGGGAACCTTCGTTTGTTGCAGGGTCAGCTGTAGCATCCTCAAGGGAGGGGAGGGAGAATTGGGGATGTGTACGATATATACCCTACTAAGCCCTAAACCCTATACCCTTGGAACCCACTCCCTGAAGGATCCCATAAGGCTCTCCGATACCTGGTGGTCTCGCAGGTCTTTCTCTGAGCGTCGCACAGTATCAGGGCTTTTGGGTTCGATCTTCTAGTTCTTTTCGGGCTAGTTTACTATAGGGGCCAAAATAATTACCAATACTATTTTGGGGGTTGCTTCTTATAGTTATAGGAAAATGTACCCCAGAACCCTATTCTAATTATGAGGGCCCCTACACTAGCCCTAAACCCTAAACCCTAAACCCTAAACCCTAAACCCTAAACCCTAAACCCTCACCCTAAACCCTAAACCCTAAACCCTATACTACACCTTGACTCCCAAATCAGGCACAACCCTGGCCAGGGTTCTGGTTGGCGTGCAGATAAAGCCTGGCTGACTGAGTCCGTAGAAGAGGGTTTAGGGTTTAGGGTTTAGGGTTTAGGGTTTAGGGTTTAGGGTTTAGGGCCAATATTCCTGGGAGGTGTCTTCCCAAGACTGAGTAGTTAGCAGAAGGCCGCAACTAGCTCTGTCACGGGTGACTCTAGCACAGCCGTTTTATGAGCTTCTACCTATCCTTATGATGCCTTTGCAAAACCTTGAAGAGTTTTTGTAAAGCCGCTGCTTTTGGACACTCAAAAAAAGGAACCCTTCTATGGGCTGGCACTCTCCATCCTGGACCGTAAACCGTAAACCCGAAGCCCTGGGCCCTAAACCCTTAACCATTAGAGCTTTGCATAATCCGAAAACCCTTAAACCCTACAACCTTACCCGGGAAACCCGAAACCCTAAACCAAATAATAAGCCCAACCCAGAACCCGAAACCCTAATCCTTCAAAACCCTCATCCCTACAGCCTTCACTTCAAAGGAACCCTTGCAGGACCCCCCTTTTCATCGGAACCCTCTTTATCAAGGGAACCCTTGTAAAGGAAGCCTGATAAGGAACCTAACAGGTTCCTTCTTTGAGCAATTCATAAGGTATGACTAACTGCCTATATTTAATTTGGGGGAGTTCTGATTCTAAGTATAATATAACATACCCCAAAGCCTTATTGTAACTTATTAAGCCTCTAAACCCTAAGCCCTAAACTCAAAACCCTAAGCCCTAAACTCAAAACCCTAAACCCCGAACTCAAAACCCTAAACCCCGAACTCAAGACCCTAAACCCTAAACTCTAAACCCTAAACTCAAAACCCTAAACCCTAAACCCTAAGCCAGGCAGTTTTCTTAATTACCTTTAAAAGGAACCTTGAGAGGTGGCCTTCCAGCTCCGGCTCCGCCGCTTGCTGGCGATCGGCTCACCTGTCCTTCTGGCAGGTGCGGTTTAGGGTTATGGGTTTTGAGTTTAGGGTTTAGGGTTTTTGAGTTTAGGATTTAGGGTTATGGGTTTTGAGTTTAGGGTTTAGGGTTTTGAGTTTAGGATTTAGGGTTTTGGGTTGAGGGTTTTGAGTTTAGGGTTTTGAGTTTAGGTTTTCGGGTTTAGGGTTTTGAGTTTAGGGTTTAGGGTTTACGGGTTTTGAGTTTAGGGTTTTGAGTTTAGGGTTTAGGGTTTTGAGTTTAGGGTTTAGGGTTTTGAGTTTAGGGTTTAGGGTTTAGGGTTTTGAGTGATAGTAGGGATAGTACAAGCCATAAAGTTGGAACATTATAACTCGCATGCCCTTGAGGTAACGCATACCTGGCGCTAATCATCCTAAGTCCATGTTCCAACTGTCTGGGGTTCACCATAAGGGTCCTTTTCGGGTGCCCAATGTAGTACGGCATCCTGCTAAAAATGATCCTAAAAGGGACCCGAATTTAGTACAACTTTCCACTTAAGGATTCCTTAGAGGGTTCCTTTAAAGGTTCCTATGAGGGATCCGGTGAGGCTTCCTTAAAAGGATCCCTATAAGGGGCCCTTTTCCGGAGTTTCGGATTACCTACAGGATCGAGGGACATAGCAACTGGGGTTCTAACCAAGTCCGGTGATCCTCCAAGCAGGTGGTTTTAGGCGTTCTTTCTGGTATGGCTTCGATGTTTCACCTTCGAAGGTGTGATGATTCTTGTTGTGTTGCCGATTCCTATTACTAGGTGTCCAGTAGTACCCTTTTACCCTTTTGCCCTTTTTCTTTTTGGGCTCCCGGATTAGACACAACTAGTACGAAACAGGTACCCTTATATTTGAGGGGCTACTGGGCAACATAGGTTATGTAACATCATTATGCGGCTGTGTGCTTCTAGACGCGGCTACTACTTGTTCAAAGATGTCCCGGGATGCCCAATACCTCATAATCAAGCAAGTATCAAGCACTACATCTTCAGTCCAGAATGGATGCCTCCACTACTTACAGCTCGTCCATTATTTTAGGCGTAGTGGCGCTTTACCTCAAGCCCAACCAATTTTATGGACAGCCCAACTTTCTGAGACATTGGGCATCGGATAGTCCAAAATAGGTATGGGGCCCAGTTCGTTCAGTTGTGTCCCTGTACCGTTTTACTCACGGTCTCCCAGTGAAGCCTGAATGGTGGGTACTGGCGAACCTCAACCCTACACTGGTTTGGGGTTTAGAGTTTACAGGGCTTAGGGCCCGCTACACCCTGTGGAAGACAGGGTTTAGGGTTTAGGGTTTAGGACAATAGACCGCAACACCCCCACAGAACCCAATCTGATGTACACAGCGCTATAAAACCCTTTCAAAACCCTCGGATCTAAACCCTAAACCCCTATCCATGGAAGGCACTGCCGGGAGCGGGAAGTCAACTCTTCTTCGTGCCGTGGCAGACAGGGAGAGCTCCGTCGGCTTCCGCGTCGATAGTGGTAGGACCCTAAACCCTAAACCCTAAACCCTAAACCCTAAATTATGGTGGTTTGGGTTTAGGAGGTTTTACCTCCTCAGGTTTGGGGTTTAGGGTTTAGGGTTTAGGGTTTAGGGTTCAAGGTTCAGGGTTTCGGGTTTAGGGTTTAGGGTTTAGGGTTTAGGGTTTAGGGTTTAGGTTTGGGGTTTAAGGCTTAGAGTGTGCAGGGACGAGGATCCCAAATAGAGCCCTTTGTCCTTTTTGTTGGGGTGCGGGGCTTCTTAGCTTTTAGGGTTTCGGGCTCAGGGCAATAGGTTGTTGTTTCTTTTTGTAGTTCTTGCTTCGAAATGTGTTGATGGATGTGTTGGGTATGTTTGCAGTTGTTCTATTTGTCGGTCTGTGTGAGAATTTAAGTGGGTTCGTGTTTCGGATTTAGGGTAACCTTTGATACACAGTGCTAAAGACGATCCGTGACTGCTAGAATCTCCTAAGGGCGAGGATAGTAGAGGCAGGCCTTTGGAATATGTAACCCCTAAACCCTAAACCCTGCAACCGGAGGCTGGGCTCAACCCAGAGTTTAGAGTTCAGGGTTTATAGGGTCTGGGGTTTAGGGTTCAGAGTTTTAGAGTTTAGGGCTTAGGGCATAGAGTCTAGAGTTTAGGGTTTGGGGCCATTAAGAATCAGGGCCCGTGCTTCTAGGTCTGAGATGGTTGTTTCGTGGGTTTCCGCCGGCCAGCAAAGAGATCAAAGCAGATTGGCTGGTTTAGTTTAGCTCTGCAGTCTGGAGCATGTACGATGTTTTGGGAGTATCAACTTCGACGAAGACTGTCAAGCTCACGGAACCCTGGCTTTAGGATAAGCTGGCAGAAAGTGGAACCTGAACCCTAAATCGTGGAACCCTAAAGCCTACCTTAAACTACCAAACCATACTTTTTTGTAGGTTCTTATTATAAACCCTAATATAGAATCTATAGGGACCCTACAAAAAAGTAGGTTTTGGTAGGTTAAGGTAATCCCTAATCGCACCACCGGGTCAAGACACGATCAGTTGATTCATGCGGTTTAGGGGTTTAGGGTTTAGGGTTTAGAATTTAGGGTTTTAGGGTTTAGGGTTCAGTATGCGATCGCAAGCGTTTTGGGTACGTAAACTTGCCGAACACACGCAAAAACCCCGAAACCCTCATGAAACCATAACCCTACAACACCCCAAAATCCCTGAGCCTGGACACCTTCGGCCCCATAATCCCCCAAACCCTAAAAGCCCCAAAAAGGAACCTCAAAGCCCAAAATCCTGGTACCCTTTTTAGAAACCCTTCAAGGGAACCCTTGAACAAAACCCTTGAACTCCCAAGATACATGCAGGATGCTTTTTGTTCCCCCAGGTGGCGAGTCTGAACAAGTGGGAATAGTATGCCCTTGGAGCTCCAAGAATTCCCTAGGGATCGTCATGAACAATCGCAACTTTCCCTCGAGTCCAGGTTATCTCCATGGCTCCCGATCACCATCGATGGTGTGCAGCGCATGTTTGTCAAGGAATTGTGGGTCAATGATTCCCCGCAGCTTTGTGGCGGGCGGAGGGGGGGGGGGGACAGGTCTCGAACATTCTGTTCGAGTTGTTTTTTGGTGTGGAAAACCATCAAACACCCCGAGAAGATGGCGTATAAAGCCCCCTAAACCCCCGAATGCCCCCCCCTAAGCACCAAACCAGGAAAATCCAATCAAACCGTTAAAAGATTCAAAAAGCCCCAAACCTTGCAGACGCTATACAACCGTAATGAAGCCCGCACAAGCCCTCAAAAGCGAAAGCTGCACCCTAAACCCGGAACTCCTAAGTCCTGAACCCTGAACCCCAAACCCCTAAACCCTAAACCCTACACCCTAAACCCTCAACCCTGAACCCTCAACCCTAAACCCCAAGCCCCTAAACCCAAAACCGTGAACCCTGAACCCCTAAACCCTAAACCCCTGATCCCTAAACCCTGAACCCTCAACCCTAAACCCTCAACCCTAAACCCTAAACCCTAAACCCTGAACCCTCAACCCTAAACCCTAAACCCTAAACCGAAAGCTGCCAGACCTGCCTCTTCCTCCGAGCTCCGACGCTGGGACCGACGGAGCTGGAAGCCGCGCTCATGCGGAACCTTTCCGTGCAGGTGCCGATTTTTGTCATGGTATTTAGGCTTCAGGGTTTAGGGTTGAGGGTTGAGGGTTTAGGGTTGAGGGTTTAAGGCTGAGGTTTTAGAGTTGAGGGTTGAGGGTGTAGGGCAGGTGCCGTTTAGTTGGTTGTGTTGTTTTGCTGGTCTAGGGTTTAGGCCAGTTGCCGTTTCGGGTGGGTCGCCTTGTGCATGTTGTTTAGGGTTTAGGTTTTAGTGTTTTGTTTGCTGGCTTATTTGTCTTGCTTATGTGGTTGCCTGTTTGTCATATTGTGATATGGGTTGCCTCGTGTTGCCTCATATTTGCGTGTCTGGTTGTTTGCTTGTTGGGTCGTGTGTGTGTGTGTGTGTGTGTGTGTGTGCGCGCGCGGGTGTGTGTGTGTGTGTGTGTGTGTGCGTGTGTGCGGGTGTGCGGGTGTGCGGGTGCGCGGGTGCGCGGGTGCGCGGGTGCGCGGGTGTGCGGGTGTGCGGGTGTG